AGAGCAGGATGAGATATATCACGATGCCATCGCCTGGATTAAGTTTGATGAATCCATAACTGTTTCTAAAATGAATGTTTACTGCGCATTAAGTTATATACCACCTCACAAATCAACATATTACAAGTACTATGATTGTGACGTATTTGCAGGGCTTGAAAATCAAATCGCCAACTATTCTGTTATAGGGGAAGTATTCATACTAGGAGATCTAAATGGCAGAACACAACAAAGAGAACATGTCCCTTGCCTCAACCTGAAGTAATAGTGTTGTCAATTTCTTGACCCTGACCTTGGTTTTCACCCGTAATGTTTACATTGTCAGTTTTGCCTTTTGATGACCACTCCGCATGCAGAGGAGCATGATCAGAGAAGAGGTTGAAGTTTGCAGCTATAAATTTTGGAATATTTCGATCATGTGTCACTAGTACACAATAGATAATCAATAACACTAAGTCCATTTGAACCATTAAATGTGTAGTCGTTCGACATAGACGAACTGTGTCTTCCATTCAATATTCTGAGGCCAGTAGACTTGCATAATGGGATAGGTTTCTTCCCCTCTTTCACGACCAGATGCCACGTTCAATCATCGACGTCAACATCTGCGTGTTTACATTGACTACTCAAATTTTTTAAACATACACTGACCCCAACATGTTTATGTTCACATTTACTACTCGTATTTTGTAACACTCATTGACCACAACATCCGCATGTTTACATTGACCACCTGCATTATTTGTTAAACACACCTCGACCTTTGAGGTTCTTGAGCGGCATATAGAAGTTGGTATTCAAGTATAAGACAAAATATTATGGATGTCAACTTCTTCTTTATTGTTTAGACAACTTATACCTCGACTTATATTTGCTTGTTTACATTCACCACTCGCATTATCTAAGCACACATCGACCTTTTATTTGCGTGTTTACATTCACCACTCGCATTATCTAAGCACACATCGACCTTTTATTTGCTTGTTTACATTCACCACTCGCATTATCTAAGCACACATCGACCTTTTATTTGCTTGTTTACCTTCACTACACGCATTATCTAAGCACACATCGACCTTTTATTTGTTTGTTTACATTCACCACTCGCATTATCTAAGCACACATCGACCTTTTATTTGCTTGTTTACCTTCACTACACGCATCATGTTATCGTACATATACCTTCGCGTTTGCGTATTTATTTACTTTACACATTAAACTCCCATCAACCCTCGCATGTTTTAGTAATGATGTTCCCTGTTGCTGGACGTTCAAATGAGCACGAACCCCTCTTTCTAAGTTTTTGTGCTCATATACATGCGTGTGTTTGTCTCGGAATATCGGACGGTGATAGGTCAGGCAAGCAAAAATACATTCACTCACTCTGTCCCTAAACTGAACCGGAAACCTGCACATTGTTAAACATGACAAATGTAAGACAGTCAGTGATGACGTGACTTCTAGTGTATTGCCTCTTGTCAAGTATTCGGAAAGATCGTCTCACATGTTGTTGCAATCAAGTGGATGAACATATGCTGTGCTCAAGATATATCTTGGCTTCAGCTTTTATTACATGGCTATGTAATCCCAGCAGTATCGCTGGATTCAACCAAACAAGGAATGTCGGGAATAGAACCCAGGATTCTGCCGTGACGAGTCAACGCTTTAACCACTATGTAACCTGCTGCACCTTGATTCAAAATACAACAATCCACCCTAAGACAATGCATGTAGGTCTGTTGTATTTGGAACACTCTAGCACACGTGTTCAGGTAATTAGAGTGAGTGAGTTTTAGTTTTACGCCGCTTTTAGCAATATTCCAGCAATATCACCCTGGGTGACACCAGAAATCGGCGTCACACATTGTACCCATGTGGGTAATAGAATGCGAGCCTTCGGTGTGACGAGCGAACGCTTGAACCATTAGGCTCTCAGGTAATTAGTGACACCCCGTACACACGACAGTCAGTTCGTCATACGACCGTCATATGACAGAGGCATATTGGTGTCCATGTACAATCAGTCCGGATGGAAATTCTTTCGTCCTGACCGAAAACGGCACTTTACGGATGGCCACTGTGTAAGTTTTCCATGTTCTTGATGATAAGTACAATTTAACATAACATGCATGTACATCACTAAAGGAAGCTTTATTCATGCCCTTACAATTGTTTTATGACAGTGTAAATGTGTTAAACTGTTGTAGTTGTATTGCATTGTTTCTCTTACGATTAAGAAGCCTGGGATAATCCAGTAAATACATTTAGAATGGAGTAAAGAGAAATATGCAATAAGCTGGAATATTTGAGCCTAGTATTGCTACTTGGTGAACACTGTTTTCTTTGAAATTGCCATTATAACTGCCACGCAATCGTAATTGTTCTGCCTAAAAGTTTGTACAGACACCTTTTTTGTTAACTGCCATTTTAATCTTTTAGACTACAACTGATTCTTGTTTGCTGGTTTCTCATTGAATTCGTTTAGGCATAGATTTTTAGATGAACAGTTTCAACTACACGTAACACACTTTACGTCAAACATGAACTTGGAAAATGGGTTTGTGAATGAGTTAAATGTGTAGTCGTTCGACATAGACGAACTGTGTCTTCCATTCAATATTCTGAGGCCAGTAGACTTGCATAATGGGATAGGTTTCTTCCCTCTTTCACGACCAGATGCCGCGTTCAATCATCGACGTCAACATCTGCGTGTTTACATTGACTACTCAAATTTTTAAACATACACTGACCCCAACATGTTTATGTTCACATTTACTACTCGTATTTTGTAACACTCATTGACCACAACATCCGCATGTTTACATTGACCACTTGCATTATTTGTTAAACACACCTCGACCTTTGAGGTTCTTGAGCGGCATATAGAAGTTGGTATTCAAGTATAAAGACAAAATATTATGGATGTCAACTTCTTCTTTATTGTTTAGACAACTTATACCTCGACTTATATTTGCTTGTTTACATTCACCACTCGCATTATCTAAGCACACATCGACCTTTTATTTGCTTGTTTACATTCACCACTCGCATTATCTAAGCACACATCGACCTTTTATTTGCTTGTTTACATTCACCACTCGCATTATCTAAGCACACATCGACCTTTTATTTGCTTGTTTACCTTCACTACACGCATTATCTAAGCACATCGACCTTTTATTTGTTTGTTTACATTCACCACTCGCATTATCTAAGCACACATCGACCTTTTATTTGCTTGTTTACCTTCACTACACGCATCATGTTATCGTACATATACCTTCGCGTTTGCGTATTTATTTACTTTACACATTAAACTCCCATCAACCCTCGCATGTTTTAGTAATGATGTTCCCTGTTGCTGGACGTTCAAATGAGCACGAACCCTCTTTCTAAGTTTTTGTGCTCATATACATGCGTAATGTTTGTCTCGGAATATCGGACGGTGATAGGTCAGGCAAGCAAAAATACATTCACTCACTCTGTCCCTAAACTGAACCGGAAACCTGCACATTGTTAAACATGACAAATGTAAGACAGTCAGTGATGACGTGACTTCTAGTGTATTGCCTCTTGTCAAGTATTCGGAAAGATCGTCTCACATGTTGTTGCAATCAAGTGGATGAACATATGCTGTGCTCAAGATATATCTTGGCTTCAGCTTTTATTACATGGCTATGTAATCCCAGCAGTATCGCTGGATTCAACCAAACAAGGAATGTCGGGAATAGAACCCAGGATTCTGCCGTGACGAGTCAACGCTTTAACCACTATGTAACCTGCTGCACCTTGATTCAAAATACAACAATCCACCCTAAGACAATGCATGTAGGTCTGTTGTATTTGGAACACTCTAGCACACGTGTTCAGGTAATTAGAGTGAGTGAGTTTTAGTTTTACGCCGCTTTTAGCAATATTCCAGCAATATCACCCTGGGTGACACCAGAAATCGGCGTCACACATTGTACCCATGTGGGTAATAGAATGCGAGCCTTCGGTGTGACGAGCGAACGCTTGAACCATTAGGCTCTCAGGTAATTAGTGACACCCCGTACACACGACAGTCAGTTCGTCATACGACCGTCATATGACAGAGGCATATTGGTGTCCATGTACAATCAGTCCGGATGGAAATTCTTTCGTCCTGACCGAAAACGGCACTTTACGGATGGCCACTGTGTAAGTTTTCCATGTTCTTGATGATAAGTACAATTTAACATAACATGCATGTACATCACTAAAAGAAGCTTTATTCATAATTACAATTGTTTTATGACAGTGTAAATGTGTTAAACTGTTGTAGTTGTATTGCATTGTTTCTCTTACGATTAAGAAGCCTGGGATAATCCAGTAAATACATTTAGAATGGAGTAAAGAGAAATATGCAATAAGCTGGAATATTTGAGCCTAGTATTGCTACTTGGTGAACACTGTTTTCTTTGAAATTGCCATTATAACTGCCACGCAATCGTAATTGTTCTGCCTAAAAGTTTGTACAGACACCTTTTTTGTTAACTGCCATTTTAATCTTTTAGACTACAACTGATTCTTGTTTGCTGGTTTCTCATTGAATTCGTTTAGGCATAGATTTTTAGATGAACAGTTTCAACTACACGTAACACACTTTACGTCAAACGTGAACTTGGAAAATGGGTTTGTGAATGTTTGGGAGCCCTAACTTTGGGTGGGTGCAGTTCCTTCATGGTAGAATGTGTATGATTTGAAGCTGACAATCAGTACAATCAGTGCATGCTGCCAAATACAGAAAAGGAGACCTTTATCACTATTTGTATCATTTTCACTGCTGGAGATCCCCACAATTCTGTCATAAAAGTACCATCTACATATACGGGTCATATACCGTGTCCTTCTTCAGACATATAGAGCATTCTTCAATGAAAGTCTAATATAAATGTTTGAGAAAGACAAGCTCTAACGAAATGTAATCAAAGGCTATATATACAGCAAGTTTTTCTGGAAATCGTTTTAACGGCTTTAACTGACATTGAACTTTTTTATTCACATTTGTTCCTTGGTACGGCCCGAATCGAAAAGTTGGGAGCACTATAAGTAATACCCAATTTTCCTTTCAAGGGAGTCAACGGTCCCTTGTCTGGGAGAAACTGGAACCTCTGTATCATGGCAACCAAGAACAGGAACAATTCCATCCGGGCCAGAGATTCCCCGAGACACACTCTGCGACCTGAAAAGAAGATAGAGTAGGTGTTTGAGAAGGAAACGTAGCGCGTGTAGATTCGACAGTCGTCTACAGCACTGCCGTATGGAGATAATGACAAACACAAAGACTTTGTCAGTCCTCCTAACCAAAGAACTGCCAGTGTCAGTCCGTTTGAGAAGCAGCCACGAGAAGAGAGGAAGGCCAAGTAACACCATTCATTTGAAAGATTATAAATATTTATTATCTTTATTTATCCCATTTCAAGTTGCATGTACAGGCAGAAGAGTAACATGGGTTAGCATATATATCATCAAGTTAATATACAAAATTGTACACACATGAGGGTGTACATATATAGATAGACAGGAGCTAGGTGACAATGTTATATCTGTAATGTACACATTAGTTTAAGTTAGTCACATTGTATGTGTGCTAAATTAAAATGTCAGAGTAGGGTATCTAAGTGATACCATTTCCTAGTAAAATAACGAATTTCCCTATCCTATCTTGTTTAAGGCTTGAGGTATAGATGAAATTTTTAGCAAGTAGTAGTAACATGTGATTTACTATTTGGTTGTTTGAGGACAGTCCAACCTTAAAGGTCACATAAACCCTAGGGGTACAAATACATAATTCACTAACTGGCATCGTTATAAATGAAACCCCGTCATTAAAACTACTCATTTCGACCTTTAATTGACTTAAATCGACCTTTTTGACAACAGTGCACAATTCTCACCCGCGAACGAAATTTCAACCAATAAGAGCGGCGCGTCTCTGTGACGTCATATGAGGAATAGCTTTGAGGGCCGATGCAGAATTCATCTACATTTTAGGGGGTAAATTATCTTGTTTACAGGCTTGTATAAACCTGAAATCGTGACAATTGTTGTGGAAAATGAAAGCTATATGTTCTCACAATCTACTAACATTTAATTTTGTCTCCTGCTTTGCCTAGTTTCCGAGTTACAACTTGTTTTCTTAGACGATTCTGTCAAAATCGATTGGTGTCGTTAGGCCCTATTTGTATAATGACTGATCCAAATTGATCCCATTTCTGTGTTTTTTTACCTCGATATTTAATCATGTCATGTAAAAATCTGTTTGTATTCTCAAAACAGTGTCGGCCCGTAAGTTTTCACATGCAATACAGCAATGAATACCCCCTTGTTGTAACCCGTGTTAGGTGGTATAAACCTACACATGTTATTTGTCATCATTCACTTGATGGTCAGTTAATGAATTTATAACAGGTATAATTAGTGGTAACACACTTAGATTACCCGACAAAGGTTCCCATTTGGCATTTCTTGTGTCTGGAGTAAATATTCAACATTATAAACATCGATCAAAGGATTAACCGAAAACACGCTGATTGATTAAAGAACCACTAAACTTTGTTTTTTGTTACTCTTTTAACCATTACATATGAAAGATTTGTGGTTAGTCTTATGCGGAACACCAAATTTATTCTTTAAAAACTTGTGGTTAATTAATACCGAGCGATTAAAAGTGGCCAAAAAGTCGCCTGCTTCCCTCTCGCCCGCCAACGAAACCACAGACAGGTTACGTAACTCTGTCGCCAGAGCACTGCAGTGACGTCATATGAGGAACGATTTTCAGTTAGTTGTATAGAAAGTGTGTAGCACGCTCATCATTTTGATGATTTCTCGACATCAACGACGACATGCCGAATCGTTGCTTTGTCGTCAATTGCTCCTAGGGGTCGGGTGATGGTGTCACCATGCACAGATTTCCACAGGACCCCGCAGTTCGTGCTAAATGGGTTATGTTTGTGAGTGCGAAGCGAGCATTGTGGAAGCCTGAAACGATATCTTACTTGTGTTCAGATCGTTTCACGGAAGTTAAAGAATCAAAACTACTTACTAGTTATAGTAAAATATGTATATGATTGATGACCATAAAGATTTTCCATAACACAACTTGTAACATAACGATTTCTTCCTCGGAAGTGAGGTTGTGGTCGAAGTAACAATAATATTGTAAGTAGTATTATATTGACACCCACCTCGCTGCCAGGAGAGAAATTGTTATGTTATACGCTATGTCATGCAAAATCCTATTGGCCATCAATAAAATACATATTTTACTACCAGTAGAAAGTAGTTTTGATTTTGTAACTCGGTGAAAACAAACCTAAATAGCATTTATCCTCAGACTGGCGGATGTTCCCCGACAGAGCGCCGCCATTTTGAAAATCGTAAAGTCTGTTAGAATTAATGAGATTATAGTTTGTTTTCATCAAGTTAGAAAATCAAAACTACTTTCTACTCGTAGTTAAATATGTATTGGAATCATAACCAAAAGGGTTTTGCATGACACAACTTATAACATAACGATTTCTTCCACGGAAGCGAGGTGGGGGTCGAAGTCACAATACTGCGCGATAAATTTCTTGCTACATTCACATGGTTAATGTCCACTCACCAGTATGTAGATACTAGTCAATGTGCGTCTTTATATTTGGTCTTATAATCCTAATTAGTTTATTATCATACTTTTATGCATTTTGAAACTAAATAAAAAGCTGACGATCTGCTGATACTTATAGTGAATTTATAACAGAACTGTAATATCTAGACATTTTATAGTTTGACAATGTGAATCATAATTCGCACACACACCCTAGTGTATGTTGTCTGTCTCATTACACTTCACGGCGAAAACAATGATTCTGTTGAATGCTACGACAAATGATTAAAAACAAAATGCAAATATTAAAATTAAAACAGATTAAAGTTATAGGAACAATATCAGGCCATTACCTTGTTTGAGGAATGTATCCATCAATATCCACAAAACTGTTCCAAATGATGTGTCTTTTAACAGTTTAATATACGAAAAAGTGATCAATCTTTTCAGGTATTGGTGTAAATTGGGCAATCAATCAATGTATTGCCGGTTAATCCTTTGAAAGAAGGACGTTGTTTTTACGCAGACACCGACACGGCAGAGTGTATTCAGTATAGATTAGTAAATCTATATACATAAACAATACCTTTTGACAATTCCGCTGTGTAAGATAAAAGTAATTAATCAATCAGCGTGTTATCGGTTAATCCTTTGATCGATGTTCATAATGTTGAATATTTACTCCCAGACACAAGAAATGCCAAATGGGAACCTTTGTCGGGTAATCTAAGTGTGTTACCACTAATTATACCTGTTATAAATTCATTAACTGACCATCAAGTGAATGATGACAAATAACATGTGTAGGTTTATACCACCTAACACGGGTTACAACAAGGGAGTATTAATTGCTGTATTGCATGTGAAAACTTATGGGCCGACACTGTTTTGAGAATACAAACAGATTTTTTACATGACATGATTAAATATCGAGGTAAAAAAACACAGAAATGGGATCAATTTGGATCAGTCATTATACAAATAGGGCCTAACGACACCAATCGATTGTGACAGAAGCGGTTATGAAAACAAGTTGTAACTCGGAAACTAGGCAAAGCAGGAGACAAAATTAAATGACAGTAGATTGTGAGAACATATAGCTTTCATTTTCCACAACAATTGTCACGATTTCAGGTTTATACAAGCCTGTAAACAAGATAATTTACCCCCTAAAATGTAGATGAATTCTGCATCGGCCCTCAAAGCTATTCCTCATATGACGTCACAGAGTCGCGCCGCTCTGATTGGTTGAAATTTCGTTCGCAGGTGAGAATTGTGCACTGTTGTCAAAAAGGTCGATTTAAGTCAATTAAAGGTCGAAATGAGTAGTTTTAATGAGGGGGTTGCATTTATAACGATGCCAGTTAGTGATTTATGTATTTTTACCCCCTAGGGTTTATGTGACCTTTAATTACTTTTATCTTACACAGCGGAATTGTTATAAGGTAGTGTTTATGTATGTAGATTTACTAATCTATACTGAATACACTCTGTCGTGTCGGTGTCTGCGTAAAAACAACGTGCTCCGTTCAAAGGATTAACCGGCAATACATTGATTGATTGCCCATTATTGGCTAACTAAATTACTGTTTTTAAAGAAAGGCGGACATTATGCAATTAGTTGCCAGGCGTGCTATCTTGGGTGACCAATGAGACTATACACCAATACCTGAAAAGATTGATCACTTTTTCGTATATTAAACTGTTAAAAGACACATCATTTGGAACAGTTTTGTGGATATTGATGGATACATTCCTCGAACAAGGTAATGGCCTGATATTGTTCCTATAACTTTAATCTGTTTTAATTTTAATATTTGCATTTTGTTTTTATTCATTTGTCGTAGCATTCAACAGAATCATTGTTTTCGCCGTGAAGTGTAATGAGACAGACAACATACACTAGGGCGAGTGTGCGGATTATGATTCACATTGTCAAACTATAAAATGTCTAGCTATTACAGTTCTGTTATAAATTCACTATAAGTATCAGCAGATCGTCTGCTTTTTATTTAGTTTCAAAATGCATACAAGTATGATCACAAACTTATTAGGATTATAAGACCAAATATAAAGACGCACATTGACTAGTATCTACATACTGGTGAGTGGACATTAACCATGTGAATATAGCAAGAAATTTATCGTGCAGTATTGTAACTTCGACCCCCACCTCGCTTCCGTGGAAGAAATCGTTATGTTATAAGTTGTGTCATGCAAATCCGTTTGGTTATGACTCCAATACATATTTAACTACGAGTAGAAAGTAGTTTTGATTTTCTAACTTGATGAAAACAAACTATAATCTCATTAATTCTAACAGATTTTACGATTTTCAAAAATGGCGGCGCCCTGTCGGGAACATCCGCTAGTCTGAGGATAAATGCTATTTAGATTTGTTTTCACCGAGTTACAAAATCAAAACTACTTTCTACTGGTAGTAAAATATGTATTTTATTGATGGCCAATAGGATTTTGCATGACATAGCGTATAACATAACAATTTCTCTCCTGGCAGCGAGGTGGGTGTCAATATAATACTACTTACAATATTATTGTTACTTCGACCACAACCTCACTTCCGAGGAAGAAATCGTTATGTTACAAGTTGTGTCATGGAAAACCTTTATGGTCATCAATCATATACATATTTTACTACAACTAGTAAGTAGTTTTGATTCTTTAACTTCCGTGAAGCGATCTGAACACAAGTAAGATATCGTTTCAGGCTTCCACAACGCTCGCTTCGCACTCACAAACATAACCCATTTAGCACGAACTGCGGGATCCTGTGGAAATCTGTGCATGGTGACACCATCACCTGACCCCTAGGAGCAATTGACGACAAAGCAACGATTCGACATGTCGTCGTTGATGTCGAGAAATCATCAAAATGATGAGCATGCTACACACTTTCTATACAACTAACTGAAGATCGTTCCTCATATGACGTCACTGCAGTGCTCTGGCGACAGAGTTACGTAACCTGTCTGTGGTTTCGTTGGCGGGCGAGAGAGAAGCAGGCGACTTTTTGGCCACTTTTAATCGCTCGGTATTAATTAACCACAAGTTTTTAAAGAATAAATTTGGTGTTCCGCATAAGACTAACCACAAATCTTTCATATGTAATGGTTAAAAGAGTAACAAAAAACAAAGTTTAGTGGTTCTTTAATTATGAATTTAGATAGTGTCAGATTGGTTAGGAGGTTAGCCAAAACTTCCGAACGAATTGACATTCAAAGAAAACATGTGGTATATTTTCTGAGGCGGTTTTACAAATGTACATGTGTGGTCATCAACTAACTTTATCTTCAATAATTCTTTTGTTTTGCATAAATTATTCTGTTTATTAATCTGTATTGAAAGTCATTTGTACATTTCCTATAATAGCTAAACACGTCTTTCCAGTCAATCACATGCTGAAAGACAGTGTTCCAATATTCAAATGACTTGTGTGTAGTATCATTCTTAATTAGTTCATCATATAATTTCCGTGAACCTTTTGCATTACAGATAATATATTTGTATATATTTTTAATATCTGGCTGATCAAAGGCAAGTGGTCTGTTTCTTATATGATATCTCCAGTTATTTGGAATATTGTTTAACAAGTGTTGATAGTCTAAGACGTTCCCTGTATTTTGTATCTCTGCTTTAAATTTTCAAAACTTAGAAAGCCTTTTTCATCAAATATATCTTTTATACTGTGTATGCCGTGAGTAACCCAGTCTTTTATAGTATATGATGATTTGAAGAAATGATTCAACAAAGTGGTTGAGATTTGGTCTATATCATTTTCCTCAAAAGTAATTTTCTTATAGAATATCCTCCAAGCAGCTAAACATCTCTCCAATAGGGATTATCATGGTCAGATAAACAGTCAACAGTATTGGAGCCAAGTCAGAATAAATGAATTACGGGAAAGGTGTTTATAGATTCTTTAGCTTTTTATATAGTTTTTCAAAGAGGATATTTCAAATCATTAATGAAACATTCTATATCTATCATTCTGAGGCCTCTATCTTGATAAACTCTGTTTATAGTTGATCTCTTTATGTTGTCGTTTTTTCCATAAAAATTTATAAATTATTTCATTAGGTTCTTTAATGAATGTTTTAGGTGGGTTTGGCAGTGCAGAGAAGATACGTACAAGAGTTGAGAGTTTTAATAACAGTGGCTTTTCCAATAAGAGTCATATTTCTTCTGTGCCATTTGGTGAGTAATCTATTGATATGTTCTAAGCGTTTCCTTGTGTTAATCACCCATAGGTCATTGAATGAAGTATTTAAGGAAATTGAACCTATCCAAATTGTCTTCATTTTATCTATGTTCATTTAAAGTCCTGATATTTTGTGTTTCAATTGCTGCATTGAGGCTTTTTTCAGATCCATCTAGAATTAAAAAGGATCGTCAGCATACTGTCCTAGTTTATTGTTCATTATCATTACGTGTTATGCCCGTTATGTGCAGATTTGTCCTTATCATGGTACCTAATATTTCATCTGCAAGAATGAATAAGTATGGTGAAATTGGATCTCCCTATCCACATCCCCTTTCAAGTCCAATAAAAAATGACAGATGTCCATTTTGAATAACTGATGCGGAGGTTAAGATATCTACCCTTTTTATTATGTTTGGACCGAAACCAATTTTTTTAATACCTGTATATATATATATATATACACACACACACACACACACACACACACACACACACACACATATATATATATGATGTATATGATTTTATATATATATATATATCTATATATATATTGCCAACATAGCAATTGGCACCTTAACACTTCAAGTAACATTCTGAGATTTCATTTGAAAAAATATTTCAGATGTCAGGAACAACCAACAATTTCGTTTTCCTGTACAAACACAATTCCCCCCAGGTTATACAGTTACAGGAACGTGTTTTAGAACGTAAACATGACAGCTCTTGATATCATCATACTGCCACACACCGGTGCGGTATGGCGTCACAGGTTACGTCTATATCATTCACTGAAACCTTCGAAAGTTATTCCAAAATGACCCAAAATACCACGAGCATCCTCTTAGAATGACCACTGGTATCATCACTATCAGGTAGTGATTCATTAACCCATACTCATGATGTAGACGGTTTGTACAGCAAACCTACTTTTAGCAGGAAATGGGTTTCTTGCAAATATTTTATGAAATAAAACTGCAATACTTACCCATAGAGAAGGGGAATCCTAGTACCAATAACCATTATCACTGGTATCATCACTATCTGTTACAACATTTACCCATGCTCATGATATAGTCAGAAATGTACAGTAGACCTACTTTTAGCAGGAAATAAAGAAATAAAACAACTGCAATATTTACCCATAGAGAAGGGGATGAATTCTTCTTTCTTCAGGTACTTCCCTTCACCATCTAGGAATCGTTCGGGTCTGAAGTTTTGAGGATCACCCCACACGGCTGGATCTTGTAGAACCGAGTCCAAATTTGGCAGGACAGTCACGCCCTTGGGAAACGTGTAGCCCTGAAACTGGATGTCGTAGGGTACAGAGTGAGGAACTGCAAGTGGAGCTATGTCTGAGCATCTCTGTATCTCACTGATGGTGGCTTCGACGTAGGGAAGACTGGTCTTGTCCTTCATGGTGGGAAGTCTGCTTTGCCCAATGTTGTCCTGTATCTCCCTGAAACACTTGTCCTGAACGTCGGGGTTGTGGAGGAAGTAAAGGAGAGTCCAGCGGATGGTGGTGGCAGTGGTCTCAGTTCCGGCTATGAATAAATCTCTGACAGTTTTCTCTAGGTGACCTCCTGCAAGAACAATGAAACATCATTTCTTCAGAAATGGGCTTCACACATTGCACCCATGAAGGGAATCGAACCCACGTCTTCGGCGTGACGATCGAACGCTTTAACCACTAGGCTACCCCACCGCCCCTCCAACATACAGCAGATACCCATTTGACATAGTTTGACCAGGCATAACACAGAGTCTATATTGGTCTACTCTGAGGAATAAATAACCATGTACTGATGTCAGGCCCATTTGCTCATCTCCTGGTAACCAATGTGTTGTAGGGGGTTTCACAAGTTTTAACAAGCTTGAAACGACACATGTTATTATCGGTAGTAGATCCCAAGTATGCAAACCATTAACATATGTGGAGGAAGAACAATCTATTTGCTAATTCTGCTTTGAGATCCCTCTTGATTTCCATGAGTGACATCATAAATCTCATCTAAGAAATGTAGATTCAACCTTAATTGTTAATGTAATTTCATGCAATCATGGACTATTTTGTTATAAAAATGGTAACTTGTCAACTTACTATCAAACGTGTCGTCGCTTCCACGAAGTTTCATTTCCTTGATGTAAGCTGTGATGAAATCGTCCACATTGTCTTCGTCGTAGCTGTTTATATGCTCTTCAACATCCTTTTCAATTTCACCTTTATCAATTGTTTCCATACTCTGCATAAGAGTTTTAAAATTGAAAAAATCGCCAGGGATGAACCTTACAATTGGATATAAGTTCAATGTGTTTGCTCCCCCGAGTAGCTCCAAAATTTTCTCTGTAGCCTTTAAGAATTTGACAAACCGTGGATCATCATACTCAAACTGCTTCCCCAAACACACAGCACAGATGATATTAGCCACGGCGTTGTGCACGAGTCGTTTGCAGTCGAAAACATGTCCACCTTTTTGCTCGAGTGCTTTCAGGAAGACCGACAACTCATCTTGTATTTTGGACTCCAGAAGGGACTTCCCCATTCCAAAGTCTCTAAGTGTTGTTAATGCAAATCTTCTTTGTTCTTTCCAGTGGGTGCCATTGGTCCCTCCTACCCCTAAAATGGTAAAAGGTATATGTCTCAATCAACATGTTATGAAAAGGTCTTGCAATCACGTGTGAAATATAAGTATGGTGTTTCCCATTTTGTAAATCCAGACTTATGCCGACCAATGTAGTCCTAATCCACTGTACTAATATGATGACGTTTAACATGGGCACTTCGGAAAAATCTTACCGTCAACGAAACGGCAGAAGAAGGACCACCACTTAAATTAATTGGCATTGACGCAACTAGCTGGGAGTCTGAATCACCGACCTTCTGTTCTCTGTGCAGAGAAATGGGGAGGTAAGAATCACTGACTGACTGACTGAGTTTGGGTTTACGCCGCTTTTAGCAATATTCCAGCAACATCACGGCAGGGGACACCAGAAATGGGCTTCACACATTGTGCCCATGTGGGGATTCGAACCCGGGTCTTCGGCGTGACGAGCAAACGCTTTAACCATTAGGCTACCCACCGGCCCAGGTAAGAATCATCCCCACCAACAACATTATATCAAGCGAACATTTTAGATTATGTGGGCTGGCGATGTTTTTGTAGACTGCACAGCATGCAACTGACGTGTATCTGTCCAGGGCCGAGAAATAGAGACTCAAGGTCAAATCGCCAATGTTAACATGTCACATGTAGAACGTAAAATTAAAAACAAAAATGTTTTCACGGCATGTGATTTGAAAATAGGCAATGGTTCGACGTTTATGTTTTGCTGATTATGGTTTTCTCCAGGTGTGTTTATGGTTCAGTGTAAATAAGTAATCTGAACTTATTAGTTAAAGAATTGACTTCAAACCTTGCGTTAAGGGAGGTATGCTTTGGGTTATTCCGCCTTACAAAAACCCCAGTGAACACTTTTATAAAGGTTACAGAGCGGTGTTTGAATTATATCTTATAATCCCCAAGTCCTGCTATTGATCAATTCTTTCCCGTCCAAAGAGAGGGTAAACACGCCTCATGGCAAAGACATATCTGCCTATATAACCAGCTGTACAGCGTTAGTAGCACGGTTTCTGAGGATATGGCATATGAAACAGTTCAATACAGATTTCACGCCAGGCGGGTTATGTTACCTGTACATGTGAGCCCCCGTTAATTTTGGAATTCCCCACGAACTTGTATTAAAACGAGACCATCAGTTAGACTCCATGACATTGGTTGATACATGTCATGGTATCCAACTTGCATAGACCATTATCTTACCTCACACATAAATGTCGCTTTCTGATTGGCTGAGCGCTCTTCTATTATTTTCAATGTACCCCGCTTACAAGCGAGTAACATTTCAATGTAAACTGCTTACAAGCGAGTAACATTTCAATGTACCCCGCTGTCAATGGCAACTCATTTGGTACTTCATGGTAGTAATTCTTTATCTCGAATAACATTGAATCACGTATGATGGACGCAAATTACCGATGTTTTGCGAATGCAAATCGATGGAAGGGAGATAACTCTAAATCTGTTTTTCTTGTCAGCAAAATCTTGCGATGGCTACAAAATATTTGTACCCGTGCTTCAAACAATTCAAAATTAACATTAAGGTGTTTGGTAAGATAAATACGTTGTTCACTGGTCCCCCGGGGCCCATGGGTTGATGTACCATGGTATCCAACTTGCTGTACATCAACCCATGCCCCCCTCGTGGCCAGTGAACAGCTCATAATGTAAACGCTGGTTGTCACACGCATTCGCATACATGTCTTCTTTCTCATTATAAACATAACATATCCGCACCAGAACATAGTTTCTCTCTCGAGTAATTTGGATGCACTGACAGATAAACTGTACCATTTACGCTGAAAATATGATCTTATTCTACAAACAAAGGTACATCTAAAGATAAGACCACCTTCTGAGAGATCTTTTTGTCGTATTTTCACATTTTGGGAGGCAGAGAACATTACGTCTTGCTGATGAAGCAAGATGATGATGTCATGTTGGGAAGTGTTAATAAAATCCTTCGATTCATGATTGTTTAGAGAAGTTAAGCCTGAAAATCAGTTTATATTCACTGACAAACATCAGAATTAACGCTTGCTGCGATTAATTGTAATAAGGCGCCGTACACCAAATCGCCCACGCAAACTAAGCGGTACATTTTAACACTGAAAAACCTGTAGCCTCGTTTTGGATCCGGAGGAAAGACGCTTCCGTCGTCGTCAACCCTAAAGAAGGTTTTGGTTCTCTATGGTGGGTATACCTAATTATTTGCCTGTTTGTTCTGTATAAATTACATATACAATGATCAAGATTACATTATTTTTAAAGTGAAGAACACAAGTCAATAACGATTACTTAATGAGGAATTACGCTTGAAAGTTTCGATGCGAACGGTAGAAGCCATTTTGGAAGAATCCATTTTGTTCGCTACAGGGAGACGTTAGGCAAGGGAAGAGGGGTAATTCTCGCACTGGGAGACAACCCCTGTTTGTTTACCTTTTCGGACATCATGTACGATTTCGGACGAGGGTTCTCACTGGGGCTGTAACGAGGGGTCACACATTCTCTTCCCACAGATGTTGCTTGTCATATCTTCCTACGAACCTCTGTTCTAATACGGCCATATTTCCGGTTCTCGTAAAATCCCTAGCGGCAAAAATCGCAATACGAATTATCTTCCTTCTTTCTATCCAATCGGAAAACGTGTTACATCGACTTAGATCCAACTTGACTAATGCAAGCAAATGTGGGGCCACAAATATCCCTCCTCTGCCGGGGACTTGTGTTGATGTGACACACAAAACATTTAATGGCTAGCTTGTCCGTTGTCAATGGAGACTCCATTGATCCGTCATTACATGAGAGTGACTTCCGTCTAGGCGAAACGTTTGCGCATCGCGCAGGGAAGAAGGTTCAGTTTTCCCGAAGCATGCGGAAATTACCGAGGCCCTGACGAATGGTCACTTTTGAAACAACGTCGCTTATTGCACTAAATCTAAATCTCATTGCAACCAATCACGAATCCTGAACACTCGCACCATGAAAGGGCCGTATTAGAACAGAGGTTCGTAGGAAGATATGACAAGTAACCTCTGTGGGCAGAGAATGGGGTCACACAAATATTGTAAAATTTTGAATGATGGCTGATGTTTCGAATAGTTATCTTTGATGAGTTAGTGACATGTTTTCCCATTGTTCCTGCGATAATCGAGACAACAACGGATATTCTTAAGTGTCAAAAACCCCATTGGCGATATGTTTGTTTTGAAACAATTACATAAAGGGGCCATGTTAAGGGACATCGTTCATGGCTTGCCTGACAAAATGCGTTGTTTTATGTCAGCGCTCACTGTGTACTACATCACATGAATATTCTAGCCTATTGTTACCAAACACGTTTGATCTGAATTCCACTGTCATTTGTGATTTTTATTCTATCAGACAGGATGCCTCCAACAATGCGAAGAAGAAAGGTGGGACTTTCGTACACATCTAACTATGAACACCAGACCATTGCTACCTCACAACCACAAATAGGATGGAGCAAAAACCAACTTCTTGATGTGAGGATAGAGGCCGTTATAGAGGCCAAACAAGAAGGATCCGTTACCAAGTACAATGTTCACTACATTGGGTGGCCCGCCAAGTATGACTAGTGGGTGGGGAGTCAATCATTGTAACGAGGTCAAGCCTGCAGCAGACAGGCACACAGGACATTTTCATAGTTCAGCTTCTGAATTCAATAACGGACAACCTCTCATGCTCTCGTGGTGTAGATTATTTGGGTAGTCAACCGCATTCCCATTTGGAAATCTGGTTATAACAATTACTTAGGCAAGCCAAAAATAGTTTGCCCTATTGGGTAGCAGGTACAATAATTTTACATATTTCTCTCAGTATATAAACCATCACCGAGGAACAGGTGGTTGTGATTTGGTGAAAAATACAACTTTTTCTGAAGACTTTCAGTAATGGATTCTTCTTCGTTGAAAATGGCAAAATGGCAGGTCTTAAACAGTGAATTGGTTGGATGTCAATGTTTTACTGGCAAGGACCCATGCAGAATCAGGTTTAGTTTTCTCATGAAAGAATTAATTTCTTAGTTCCTAGTAGACAGTCGCAGGTAAAGCAATTTGTTGCTTTAAGTTGTTTTTGTGAAATAGTTCCCGGGTTTAAACTGTGCAGTTAAATTCAACATGTACATTAAATACTTGTTGGGATTACTATATCGTTTCTGTACAGACCATATATTTCTAGTTTTTAAACATATTTCCTGTGGTGAAACATTACGTTCTCCACTACTACCTATTTTACTTTTTCAGAGTTTATATTAATAATTGTAACAAGGAATTGTCTTGTATTTGCTAACTTAATTGGTGAGTAAATATTTTGGATATGTTTCAGGAAGGGACATCTTCGCTTTACAAAGTACACGCTCCTTTAACATGGACTCTTGCATTTTGTTCCGAAAAGGTAGGCCACGAGACAAAAAAGCAGTGGAATGTTTTGACTTGATTATTTATATTCAATAGTGTTGAGAGTAGCAACACAACAAAGAAACAGAAGAACTCGGCAGACAAATCAACAGTAGCATAAATGAAAACACATAACGCAATAATGGCAATTTCACATACCTTTGCCTTGAGCGAAAAAATCTGTTAGAAACGATTTTGGTCTTTCAGAGAAAACGTCACCATTCTTGACGAGGGCCTCCTTAATGGCACTGTATCCACTGAGGACAATGACTGGCTGATTGAAGATGTACACGCTGAAGATGTTTCCATACTGACGCCGCAGTTTGTTGAATGTTACCCTGATGTCGGCACCAATGGACAAGGCGTTGCCCACGAACGGAAGAAGAGGGGGACCAGGGGGAAGACCAGGAGGACGCCGCGTTGACAGCCATAGAATAAGTGCTACATTGATGAACACCAGTATCAGAGATGTATTAAACATCAACAGTCCCGTCAGTGATGCTATGGCAGCAAATATTGCAGCAGAGCTGGAGCTAACCATACTGGCTGTCGTTTGTGATCTCCACCCACTGAAAACTGACTTCTCTTGTCGCTCACGCAACCTTATAGAAAACGCTCATGTGACGTCAGCAGAGCTGGAGCTAACTATCTAGGCTGTGATCTCCACAGAAAACTGACCTGTTATTGTCGCTTACGCTAAACATAGGAAATGTATATGGAACCCGAGAAGGGACATTGTCGCGTTGTCGCACTGTCGAATTAAAAATATTATTCAAAGGGTTAAAATGTGGTCAAAGTTTCGCGCTTTGGGTAATTTTGACAATTTTTACTTGATTTTGAAAGGGCGACAATATATCAACGGACAATGTTCCTTCTAGGATTCCATACACGTGCTATATTTGGCGCATCAAAGATTAAGAAAAGCGGCAGCGGCAATGCTACAATCCTGTGTCCTGTTTACAAGTGTGGCGCAACACGAAAACGACACATATTTTGACCTTGAAATATTTCTCTTCGTCCCAGTTTAATACGCCTTGCTTTAGGGCTGTACTGAATGCCGCTTTCTGCTTAAGATGTACACCGCTATCCTAACACCGTATGTATGAATGCATGTATGTATGTATGTCTGTCTGTCAGTTCAACAGCGCGCCGATATTGATCACGTCTCTTGAGTTGTTACAAAAATGTGGAGTAGGGTTTTTATACGAAATAGGATTTACCATACTGCTATATAACAGTGTTGACAGGATTCTCTATGCTAGCAAATTATGTCGTAGCAGACATGTATCAAGTACTTCTTTTAGTTGACTCATTTTCCGTGTGATATTCCCGTGAAACTTATAGTGCAACCCGATCGTGAAACGACAGTGTGATGCTGATTTGTTGTTCAAATTCGTGAAATCATAACAACAGGTGAGATGAATGTTGATAGCAAATTTGTATTTGTCTATTTATTTATTTTCTTTTATTTTGATCTGCTTATAAATTAATTAATGGGGACACGATGTTTATTTACTTTACTTGGAAATGTGATACAAATGTGCCACAATAAGTGGCAATACGGATACGTAGCAACCTTTGCCATGGCCCCTTGGAGTTTTACTTATCCGGTTTCACTGTACATACATACATACATACATACATACATACATACATACATACATACATACATACATACATACATACATACATACATACATACATACATACATACATACATACATACATACATACATACATACATACATACATACATACATACATGAAGTTAATATAATGAAATATATGATCAACAATTATGAAAAAGACAAGATGTATATTTTTTGCAGTGACAGCAATTGCAAAGGTATTTCGTGTAACGCTCGAAGTTACCAGCTGGTGAGATATGGGCGGGCTGTATTACTACTAGCCACAGCCTGGGAATAAAGGATTCATTGGCGGAGACGCTGCCAGTCTGTGTGTCCCAACTGTCCTCACTTGCACTTAACAGTGGCAGCCGGTGTAAGATTGAAAACATACCCGCATTGAAAAGGTACCCGGCGGGTACTTTTTCAACATTGAATTATAACCCGGACTCACTTTTCAATGCCAGTGGTCTTTTTTCAACATTGAATAATCACCCGGCTGCCATTGAAAAATAACCCGGGTCACGTATTGAAAACATACCCTCGTTGAATAAGTACCCTCGCTGTTTCTACACTGTAAACGGACGTAGACAATTAAAACACCATTGATTAGCTTTTTACCCATGTACTTATTTACGTATATTTCTAGCAATATAACTTAAATATGGTCTCTCGTAATTCCCTGTGGAATGGCTTGTGTAAACATATTTATGGTTTTATCAAAATGTTTATTCAAAATGTTGTACATACGGTGAGACCGAAATAAATCATTTGTTGAATGACTGTGTGCCTGTCTTTGATGTTTGGAGTTAGACGCCGCCGATCCAAACGGGGACATCCATATCTTTGATATCGTGATATTGTGCCGATGCACGTGCGTATAAAAAAAATGATACACATTTTGCCTGTCTTTGATGTTTGAAGTTACACGTCGCCGATCCAGACGGGGACATCCAAATCTTTGGAGTAGGGGTTGGCTTAGACTAACGCTTAGTCTCTGAATATATAATTTTGATTCTAACAAACACACCCATTTAAATTGAAAAGGAGCCCCAGGGACACCGGAGATTCGGAGACTAAGAACATCTGCATTGGGACTACACGTGCTGGGGACATCACTAATTAGAAGTCACATCATACAACCATCAGAAAAAAAGTATAAGTTACAGGCATATTTATTGGCCCTTACGTTAAGCCTTCTCCTATCTTCATGCTGCCATCACCTCATGTGGGTGGGCCAGTCAAGCCACCCAACTGCCTATAACAGTTTACAGTTTGGAAACTTGCAGCCCACGTTATATTGCTAGAAATATACGTAAATAAGTACATGGGTAAAAAGCTAATCAATGGTGTTTTAATTGTCTACGTCCGTTTACAGTGTAGAAACAGCGAGGGTACTTATTCAACGAGGGTATGTTTTCAATACGTGACCCGGGTTATTTTTCAATGGCAGCCGGGTGATTATTCAATTTTGAAACAAGACCCCTGGCGTTGAAAAGAGAGTTCGGGTAATAATTCAAAGTTGAAAAAGTACCCTTTTCAACGCGGGTATGTTTTCAATCTTACACCGGCAACAAGGCAGCCCCTACTGCTCAATGTGGGCTTGGCGAGAAAGTTTGACTCAGAAGGAGTCCGGCTATGATCTACGTTAGCGGTGCAAATCATGATGCAAGGTCAGGGTGGCAATTACATGTAAGTGGAAACGGGTGGCTGGACCATAGTAGCCTTGGACACACAAACCCCATGTCCTGAGTCTATGTGTGCTCAGAACAATAACACACTGCCCTCTACATATTCGGAATGGACCTTACAATGGGAATTAACCAGTTATATCCTCATTTAAGATTGCTATTGGACGAAGGATGTCAAGTTTGTCAATATGCAATTAGTAAATTATAATTTGTGTGACAAACCACTAAGCAGATCAATGTCGTTCAACAAAGAACGTCAGATGACGACCTTGAGTATGTAAGCGATTAGACAACAGATATGGGCAGTGTAGATCCTAGACTTGCATAAGTCTTGATCAGTGTATATAGTGAGAGTATCTTTTAAGCATAATTGTTTCTCTGGCCTGTACCTTCACAAAGCTTGTATATTGTTGTAAACTATACAGTTACATTCTGTAATCTCCTTACCTTCACAAAGCTTGTATATTGTTGTAAACTATACTACATTCTGTAATCTCCTTACCTTCACAAAGCTTGTATATTGTTGTAAACTATACTACATTCTGTAATCTCCTTACCTTCACAAAGCTTGTATATTGTTGTAAACTATACTACATTCTGTAATCTCCTTACCTTCACAAAGCTTGTATATTGTTGTAAACTATACTACATTCTGTAATCTCCTACCCTTCACAAAGCTTGTATATTGTTGTAAACTATACTACATTCTGTAATCTCCTTACCTTCACAAAGCTTGTATATTGTTGTAAACTATACTACATTCTGTAATCTCCTTACCTTCACAAAGCTTGTATATTGTTGTAAACTATACTACATTCTGTAATCTCCTTACCTTCACAAAGCTTGTATATTGTTGTAAACTATACTACATTCTGTAATCTCCTTACCTTCACAAAGCTTGTATATTGTTGTAAACTATACTACATTCTGTAATCTCCTTACCTTCACAAAGCTTGTATATTGTTGTAAACTATACTACATTCTGTAATCTCCTTTACCTTCACAAAGCTTGTATATTGTTGTAAACTATACTTCACATTCTGTAATCTCCTTACCTTCACAAAGCTTGTATATTGTTGTAAACTATACTACATTCTGTAATCTCCTTACCTTTCACAAAGCTTGTATATTGTTGTAAACTATACTACATTCTGTAATCTCCTTACCTTCACAAAGCTTGTATATTGTTGTAAACTATACTACATTCTGTAATCTCCTTACCTTCACAAAGCTTGTATATTGTTGTAAACTATACTACATTCTGTAATCTCCTTACCTTCACAAAGCTTGTATATTGTTGTAAACTATACTACATTCTGTAATCTCCTTACCTTCACAAAGCTTGTATATTGTTGTAAACTATACTACATTCTGTAATCTCCTTACCTTCACAAAGCTTGTATATTGTTGTAAACTATACTACATTCTGTAATCTCCTTACCTTCACAAAGCTTGTATATTGTTGTAAACTATACTACATTCTGTAATCTCCTTACCTTCACAAAGCTTTCACAAAGCTTGTATATTGTTGTAAACTATACTTACATTCTGTAATCTCCTTACCTTCACAAAGCTTGTATATTGTTGTAAACTATACTACATTCTGTAATCTCCTTACCTTCACAAAGCTTGTATATTGTTGTAAACTATACTACATTCTGTAATCTCCTACCTTACCTTCACAAAGCTTTGTATATTGTTGTAAACTATACTACATTCTGTAATCTCCTTACCTTCACAAAGCTTGTATATTGTTGTAAACTATATACTACATTCTGTAATCTCCTTTACCTTCACAAAGCTTGTATATTGTTGTAAACTATACTTACATTCTGTAATCTCCTTACCTTCACAAAGCTTGTATATTGTTGTAAACTATACTACATTCTGTAATCTCCTTACCTTCACAAAGCTTGTATATTGTTGTAAACTATACTACATTCTGTAATCTCCTTTACCTTCACAAAGCTTGTATATTGTTGTAAACTATACTACATTCTGTAATCTCCTTACCTTCACAAAGCTTGTATATTGTTGTAAACTATACTACATTCTGTAATCTCCCTTACCTTCACAAAGCTTGTATATTGTTGTAAACTATACTACATTCTGTAATCTCCTTACCTTCACAAAGCTTGTATATTGTTGTAAACTATACTTCATTCTGTAATCTCCTTACCTTCACAAAGCTTGTATATTGTTGTAAACTATACTACATTCTGTAATCTCCTTTACCTTCACAAAGCTTGTATATTGTTGTAAACTATACTACATTCTGTAATCTCCTTACCTTCACAAAGCTTGTATATTGTTGTAAACTATACTACATTCTGTAATCTCCATTTACCTTCACAAAGCTTGTATATTGTTGTAAACTATACTACATTCTGTAATCTCCTTACCTTCACAAAGCTTGTATATTGTTGTAAACTATACTACATTCTGTAATCTCCTTACCTTCACAAAGCTTGTATATTGTTGTAAACTATACTACATTCTGTAATCTCCTTACCTTCACAAAGCTTGTATATTGTTGTAAACTATACTACATTCTGTAATCTCCTTACCTTCACAAAGCTTGTATATTGTTGTAAACTATACTACATTCTGTAATCTCCTTACCTTCACAAAGCTTGTATATTGTTGTAAACTATACTACATTCTGTAATCTCCTTACCTTCACAAAGCTTGTATATTGTTGTAAACTATACTACATTCTGTAATCTCCTTAC